ACGTAGTCTTCAGACTAAAGCTTACATACTCAGACAACAACCCAAAATGAATCTCCTTCCATCCCAAATCCTTCGATACCCCTTTAAAAACCGAAGCTCCCTTCCCTCTCGGATTTACCCACACACTTCGTCTCCCTTTTTGTTTGTGCCAGTCAATAAGCCATCGAAGGGCTTCAAGGATCGACGCGTGGGGGAGACGGGAGAACATATCTTTAATATCATATGAAGCTCCCATCATCTCCATGTGGCGTCCTTGTCTTTCTGCAGCATAATTTATCTTTTTAATCTTAGCAGCGAGATGGCCGCATTTCAAATTAAAGTGCAAATTACCCGGGCGTTGCAATGTTTCTTCTTCCTGTTCTTCTTCTTCGCTTTCTTCTCGTATACTCTTCAATTCTTCTTCTAACTCCTTGTCCATCTTTTCTTTCATCTTTCTCTTTGCTTCTTCTTCTTTCTGTTTCTTCTTGGCTTCTTTTTCTTTCTTCTTTTCTGCCAGCCTGTGTTCAATCTCTGCCTGTTCCGCAGGTGTGGGCCCCGGCTTTGCTGCTCAAGACCGCATTAACATGCGGGACGTACACATGCGTCCGAACCCCAATGGGAACATAAATCTGAACAGTGGGCCCAGTAAGACAGAAAGGGCCAACAGGCCCTGGATGGGATAGTCATCCATGATGACAACCGGCACAGGGGATCCTCCGCCGGATCACCACAGTACTATCCCACTCACTCACCTACTACCTCAGTGTCTGTGGTGAATGGAGTTCTAACTTTCGCTGTTTTTTTTTTGTTAACTATAGAAGGTGCTGCGTACAATAAACACTCAATTCAAACTGAAACCGATGTTTGTTTCTTGTATATATCTCCTTTTTTTCAATGCTGCCTGGCTTCCTGGATCAAACTCCTGCAATGTGTTGCTTGTATTTCTACTTCCCCCTAGATGCTTGGTTTATACTAACTGGCTGGCTGTCTGATGCAGGTATGGAGTAAAGCGCAGAGAGGTCAGATGCAGATGGTTCACTTAATAATCAACCAGGCAGAAATATTTTACTCCGTTTTTCTTTCTTTTGGGCTTAACTGGCCCTGTCAATGCTCATCAACATGTTTGCGCTCCCTGGTACTTGCACTCTGACGTGGCATATAGCCACTTCCCACATCGATTCTTGGTCCCTGATGACGATACACAGCCTGCCTATCGAGAGGGGTAGGAGAGAAATCTACTCCTATTTGCAGAACACTGGACCACCTAATCTAGTGCGACCATGCCCTGACACATTGCATTCGGATTATCCAGCCTCTGACGACTCAGACTCTGACTCGCTAGGACGATCCAGATCCAGTCCTGACTTCCAGTCCAACAGCAGAAAGAGAAGGTAGGGGACACACGCATGCATGCAAGTTCAGGGAAAGGGGGTGCTTCTCTCTTCTTGAAGATACCGCCGATGATGCTCCACGACGCTCCGCACACTCCAGGTAAGTAGACTTCGCCACTTCTTCTTCGGCCTGCCTCCCCCACTATCACAATACTTCTCCTCTTCCTCCCTGCTTCACTACTCCCCCATCACCACATCTTCTCGTCGGCCTTGATCATGCCAGCACTATGAGTGCAGCGAGCATCTGCTCCGATACCAAATTTACATGGGTCCTGAAGACCATCTCACGCAAGTGTGTACATGTCACGCATCATCCTTGCACACAATGAACAAGAGTCTCACACATAGACAAAGGTAGATGAGAAGAGAACCGAGTTGCACAACTTATATTATCAAATATATGATTACAAAGAGTTTCAATGCTCCCTGAGTCCAGAGCTCATCAGCGCAATTTACACCCCTTGTCAACTCATCAACATGGCTTCAACAAATCAGCGCTACTTCTGCCGATTGTATCCTGGTCATCAATGTGGTCACTACTCATCAGTGCCACCTCTGCAGCTCATGTCCCACTCAGGTAAGTATCCTTCATAGCCAAACCTTGATTGAACACTCTCTGTCTCAGTCCCTTCCTCCTACGATGCATACACACTCTTCTCTCACAAGGATCTACTCTGAATGCTACTCRTAGCTATCTACTACTAACCCTCTAATGCTAGTACTAACTTGCTGGGCAGCTATGGCTGCGTCTATCCCAGCGCACAGTCTTCTCCCTTCTTATCGCATCTTCATCCTCCAGCGCTGCTCCTACCGACTGGCGCACAAGTGCTCCAGCACTTCCACGCATAGAATGCCAGTGGAGATCTGGCGAGGAATGAGGCTGGCTGCTTCTTTTATAATGCTGGCCTCTCCTCGCTGGGTCTGCATTTGGCTGCTTCGGCCTTCCTTTGTCCCAGACCCTGCATTGCATGTGTCCCAGTACAGTCCCAATGAAGTCAACTGCTGYTGAGGCCTCTCGGCCTGGATKTGGACTTTGGATGTCTGGATCTGGACTGTCCCCTCGTCTTAGACCAGAACTGGGACTTTACCTATTGACTCACTTTCAGACAGGCACAACTTTAAACGAACAGACACACTCACTGCCTGAACAGACACTCACATTGTGTGAATAGACACTCCCGTTCTGCACGAACAGACACACCTATATCTGAACAGACATAACATGTATATCTCCTGACGAACAGGTATGTCCCTCTGCAATAACCTTTGCTTTAGTTTAGGATGTGCCTTTTGATAGAGAACTGGACCTTTGACCTGCTTTCACGTTTCTGGGTCCTGGCAAGATACCCCTTCACGATGCTTTACTTTTACAAGGCCTGTATCAGGTAAAGGCCCTTTTAAACTCCTGAAAACTGAAATGAGTGAATTTTGCATGAAAACACACTTTTGCCTTGCTGTTTTATAGCTTTTTAAAGTTCTTTTTTCAATTTTGTTTTTGTAAGTAGTTAGTATGATCTCCACTCTATGAATTGGTGGCAAGTTTGGTTAAAATGACCCTTGGGTTTGGTTATAAATCTCTCTCTCTCTCTCTCTCTCTCTCTCTCTCTCTCTCTCTCTCTCTCTCTCACACACACACACACACACACACACACACTGTCACATGCCCAGTTGGGCGATGTACATATATAGCCAAGGATCCGCAATGTGATGAAAAGGACTGAATGGACAATGCAGCGCTAGTAGAATCTCAACAAGCAGTGTACATCGTGATACATACAAAAATGGTGCTTTATAGCGCAGCGGAAGACTTAGATATAAGTCCTGACCTGACCGTGACTGACCTCCCTCTCGTTGTACAAGACAGCGCAGCAGAATGGTAGAATACCAATGACTAGCCCAATCAATGTCACAATGCAGACCAAAGATACATCATCCTCATCACAAGGTGTGAAGGGGCCTGGCGCTACACCCAGGAAGAACGCGCCAGGTCCAGACCATACACAGACGAAGAGGAGGGGATCAGACGAAGAAGAGGGCAGAGATGGGAATGTCGTTAACACCAAGTCTTCGGTAAAGGTCCCAGATAATCCCTCGTCAAATGTCTGAAGCCCAATGTCGAGTCTGGATCCAGATGTCACCAAGCCCGCTCTCTCGTAGTCTGCTGATGCAGTGAAGTCAGGTAGCGAGAGGGTCAGAGGAAGATGTTGGACTGAGAAGAGGAAGAAGAAGAACACTCTCTCTCTCTCTCTCTCTCTCTCTCTCTCTCTCTCTCTCTCATCTGCCAGGTACTAACCTGTGAAGATGGCACTGTGCTGCCGGTACCTCGAAGACGAAGCTGGAGCTATGGCGCTGCAGGTAAGTCTCCCTGGCCTCCACCCAATCTCTCTCTCTCTCCAGTACTACTCTAGCTCCTACTAGTGCCCAGCGCTGAAGACTACTGCTAACGCTACTACTACTACTGCAGCACTCCTCCAGAGTGCTGCTGCCGAATCCTGGAGACTACATCCTGCCTCCTGAACTGCACGTGAAGTGCCTGGGAAGTCCCTATGAACTACCTGCAGCCTGCAGGACGGGCCAGTCTTATATAGTGCTGGCCCGTCCAGGAGGCTGCTCTTGCCAATGCCAAAACGTGCCAGACCCTGGCGTTGAAGCTCAAACAAGGGTTGTCTTGAAAACAGGCCCAAAATGGCCTGTGCTAAAACCCTCGTCTGGTGCCTAAGTTTCAGGGCAGGTCGATCTTATGAGGGCCTGAAAATGGCCCTCCGTTTCAGGCTGAAAAGACTCAGGGCCTGTAGGTCCTTGTTTTCAGGCTTTCAGGCTGAAACGACACAGGGCCTGTAGGCCCTTGTTTTCAGGCTTTTAGGCTGAAAACGACACAGGGCCTGTAGGCCCTTGTTTTCAGGCTTTTGGGCTGAAAACAACACGGGGCCTGAAAATGGCCCTCGTTTCAGACGCAGCATGTAACACACACACACACACACACACGTGCTGAGCACGCCAGTTAAGGGCAGCGCTTACTTTAGGTGTTGTGGTGTGTCAAAGGCCATACGTCAAATGCATCGTGATCAGACTGCCAAGGATACCCTCTTGATGAGTCGGTGAAATTCCACCAGAACTGTCCATCTTAGTCATGACAACCCACACACACACACACACACACACACACAGACAAACGTGTGCTCGTGCAGGCCCTTGCTAGCTCTCCGTTGAGGTGGGTAATTGGATCATAGTTGCAGTCCCGCCATTCTGGCTGAGAGGGCTTTTTATGGCTGTGATACACTGGTTTCACCAGGCCTATTGTGGTCCTGCATGGGTGTGAGCAAGACAGCCCCCTAGAATGGTAAGGTTGGTGTGGGCTAAGTCAACCTCGCTATGAACTGGTGGGAAGTCCAGTGAATCCATCTGTCACAGTCATCCCTTCCCACAGGGTAGTGTTTATTGAAAATGACAACAAACATACACAAGAATTGAGCCCGACAGCTTATTCATTTTATCACCAGTTCATAAAGAGAGTGCTTTCCAGTTGGCATTTGATAGTGCCAACATTCTGCCCCACAGGGAGGGAGATCTGAAATGGCATCCGAAAATTTGGAAGAAGGGAGGAAAGGCTTCATTCATAAGTGAACTCACCTTAAACGTATCCCAGGGTCCAACTGTACACATAGCAGTCCCAACAAACTCCAACTTCTCCAAAGACATAGCCTGCCACATCAGATCACACCATACTTCCAGGGGGTTGTCACCGTGTTCTCAAAATAGCAGGCTTTGCATAGTCTTACCCGCGGAGGGCAAGAGGTAGGTAGGTTTCAAGCTTTCTCCCAACTTTATGCACACATACTTTGCACTCACAAAACGGATTCCCCACCCACTCCCCTACCGCCCCCCAACCACCGTACGTCTGATGTCATTTACAGGGTTTTTCTTGTTTCTCTTCTTTTATCAAACCTCCTCTTTTCTTTCCTTCCACAATCTATGCATGCCAAACACTACATGTAAACTGCATGAAAAGTACGTGCTTCCTTGCTTAATCACTTGCCTTGCTGGCTTGCCTTTGATTGCTTGTTCATCTTCAATTGATTGCTTGCCTTCGATTCAACACTATGCCATAGAAGGACAACATCAGTATCCCTACTGGCTGGAAAATACGATCGCAGTGAAAAAGAGACCCAGACCTTCCAGCTTTGCGAGAAAAATTGGGGGTTATTGGATCTCACAGTAAATAACAAAAGACTTCATTCTTATTCGTGGGGAGGGGCCTCTTCATCTGCTTTCCAAAAATTTCGCATAACCCCAACTGCTCCTCCCTGTTGATATACCTAAATTGGGATTACAGCTCAGCACTGGAAAATAGGGACAGCACTTGAAACATTCGGAGATGTTACCTGGCCCTTCTTTGGCCCGATTCTCAAGGGTCCTACCCCTTATGGGACCCTCTCCCATCCTTCCTCTTGTCAATTCTCCCCAACACACCCCTACTCCCCCAGGCCTACCTCAGCGTCTACCATGCAGGAGCATCACCCTTCTACATCTTTGCGAGGTGACCTGAACGGACAGCAGTTGTAGGCACCAGGGCTGAGCAGGAACCCAGTCAGCCGTAGTTGAATGAGCCCTGTCATATGGGTACTTCGGGCGCTTGTACAGGGCCCATGGATAGACCACTAATTATCCCCCAAACTTACCCAGGCTCCCCATTGTATGGTTCTAACCGTGCACACCTAGATATCACAGGCAGTGTCTAATGGCCCCCCGTAGCCAAGGTCTAACCTATGACACAAGCTGAGCAACCCAGGCATACCCACCTAGCACAGCTCTTACACTTATTCTAGTTATGTTGTTAATACGACCTAGAATTTCTAGATACCATCAAAAGGTGTACAGCCATCATCCATCCACCCACTACCTTAATCATTCACTAGATACCTCTCGAGCGTTTTTTTGCAGATGTACTGCTGTTCTTCTGATTACGACCTAGAGGTTCTAGCCTATTATCAGTAGATGTACGCCCACCATCCACCCCTCTGCCTTAGTGGTCCACTAAATCCCTCTACAGTTGCTTGTGGTTGTACTGTTGTTGTTCTGGTCGTTATTGCTTAGACATCATCTGGGGGTACCCTAGCCTCTGTCGTCAGTAGGCACACGGCCACCTCCTGTCCCCATACTTTGGTCATCAGCTAGACCCCATGTGTGTTGTCATCACCCAGTGCATCTCCAGTCCCGGTCATCAGCAGGTACACGGCCACATCCGCTCCCTTACCTCTGTCATCAACTAGGGCTACTCTGGCCTATTTGTCAACATGGGAAGCAGACAATCCCACGACTGCCTAACCCCACATAAGGCCCCTTGCTGCAAGTTCCCCCTGAGGGAGGATGAACACCCAAGGCAGTCACTAACCCCCCAGAAAGCCCTGCTCCCCCTGAGGGAGGATCAATAGCCAACAAGGCCCAACGTGGTCTCTAAGCCCCTAGAAAGCCCCTGCTGTTGGGACCCCTTCTTCATCCCATCTACGGCCCTGCCCCTCCAAAGCAAGGCCCAATCGTAACCAATTACGTTATCATCCACTCCACAAGGCCTACCTGACCCATTCCTGCCTGCACCCTAGCTATCTCCGTACTATGTGATGCATCGGGCCTGATTGGAATTGAACCCTGGCCCTCTTCCTTACAGCACCTAGCTCTACCCATTGAGCTACTACATCAAGTGATTCATGTATGCGCTGTTCTAGGCTGGGTGACAAGCAAGTGTGGTGCCAACCTAGCACTAACTGATCGTGTGCAGGGGAGGTGAGGTTGCGGTCCAACATAATCGCGCTCACAACCTCCCCGCTGCACGCCAGAGCTCTGACCAACTGAGCTACCACATCTTTGTTTCTAAAAATGTGCCATATTCTTTTGTTATTTGTTTTATAACTTCAGTCTTTTTTCCCCAAAAAAATGTATGTCGCACCTTTGAGCTAGCTCAAATGGGCGGCGGAGGTGGGATGCAGCCCCAGGGAGAGGTCCCACTAGCAAAGAGGATTGGGTTGAGCGCCTGAATCTGGATGTGTTTTACGCAGAGATGCAGAAAAGCAGACAAATTGCGACTTTCTGCACCTACCCCCAAACATGTCCAGATTCAGGCGTTAAATCCAATCCTCTTTACTAGTGGGGCGTCCCCCATGGGGCGACGGATTTGGCAATTGCCTCTTAGTTGCAATGAACCCAGTCAGATGGAAAGCTTGTCAAGGTCGGAACGCAGAATGTTTTAGCGCAGTTTAAATGTCTCTGAAATTGTACATGCAATCAAGTAGCCCAATGACTCATGACCAGAGAAGAGGTAGATGGGAGGGAGAAGAGACTTAGAGGCTGGAAGAGAAAGTACCCATGAGCTCAGCAGATAGATCTCCCTCACTAGCCCACTCCTCCTTCGGGAATCCCCTACTCGCCACATCCGTAGACAGTCTCCTCTGACATGTTCTGACAATGAACAGATCTCATCATGGTGCACACGGCGCAGACCCTTCTGAAGACGAACAGCAATGCGCAACGTCGAAACGAACGCAGACAGGTAAGCTTCCTTACGATCAACCAATCTCACAGCCCTGATCCCCCTACTCCTTACCAGCATCCCATCAATGCCATAGACAGTGTGGCGAGAGCCACTTCAGCATAATCAAGTGCCCAGTTGGCGCTGTAGACAGAAAAGGCGCCAGCACCTAAGCAGTAGCAGTCTCGCATCGTCTCATCAGCGTAGCGCCAGCGTCAAGCCAGCATCAAGCTCCCATCCAGCCAGTGTAAAGCCAGCGTCCAGCCAGCATCAAGAAGCAAGTGCAAGACTGAATGTCAGTCAGCCGGGGTTGGGTCAACATATAGTGATGACTCCAGTTGATCAGCCTCTGGTCTCTCAGATACGATGGCCCCAATTGACTCGCAGATCCAATCCCATACAGTTGCAGATTCCCAATGGACTTGATTCGTGACAGATACCTGCAAACAGCCAAGTGTGTGTGTCTGATTGGTGGCCTGGACTGGGTCCATGTTGACTTTGACTCGTGATCCTGAATTTCCGAGCTGCTGTTGACCTTTGACTTTCCATGGTCAACTGTCGCACGTTGGGCCTCTGAAGGCCAGTTTTAGGCCTTGCTTCGGGTACCCCTTAGTAGCAGGCCTTTGTTCAGGCAGTTTTCATGACTTGGGCATGGCTGTTGACCCCTATTCCGGCCCTAAGACCAAAATGATGACCCACAGCCCATGGCTATAGCTGACTTGAGCTGAGTTATTGCATATGGCTCCTGAAAGTCAAACTGAATTAAAGGAACTGCATGAGATTTATTCGATGTTTTTTTTAACTTGTAATGACCCGCCATAACACGGACTGAGAACACTGCTGATTTCTGAGTTCTGCCGATGGAATGGATGCCTTGCTGAGATTCCCGCATTCTGCTGGGTTTTCTAAGTTTGTGTGTGAGCGTTCTTGATGACCTGCATGCCTCTCCGAGTGCTTGTCAGCATGCATGTGTGTGTGACCCGCAAGGGTACTTGCTTGTTTGGCAGGCCAGTAGGGCTGGTACTTACCTGTGGCCGTCGCATGGAGGGTTGCAGCAGGGGAAAACACTCAAGTGGCGGAGCCAGAGGTCCGCGGCACTTAGAGCAGCAAAAAAACACCCCCAAGTAGCAGGTAGGCTGGTACCGCACCCAGTAGCAGTAGATGTGCCGGGTACTCGAGCCCGAGCAGAAGAAGACAAAGTTGGCATTTTTAGAGGCCCAATAGCGGTAGGCTAGGTCTAGGCCAGTACCAGTCCATCCAGCCTGAGTCTAGAGCCTGTACAGGCAATATCAGAGTCTGCAATGATGTTTCCCTCCGAAAGGGAGGAGGTACCGGTTGCTTGGGAGGCCGAGCGGCCTGGAAGTCACCGCCCAGGAGGCGCGTAGGCCGCTATATCAAGAGGCCAGGGGAAGAGCCCGACCTCATTCTTCAGTGTGCAAGTTTGGCGACATGCTGCTGGAGCGCTGGCTACTACAGCGCTGCTGGGAGGAAGAAGCCGGGAGCTTCCACCTTGGCTATGGTGGAGCTCTACCGGTAGGAGGAGGAGGGAGAAGGGGACCAAGGAGGAGAGTGGCAAGGTACCTACCTGGCTATGGTGGACACCATCTTCATCACCTTGTTAGGCGCTGCATCTCGAAGGCCCCAGTTGGGGTCGTGCCGCATCAAGGAAGCTCAGGACAGAGTCAGGCATGGCGGTTGAGTGGGCAGCAGCATAGCTGCCTGGTGTTGACCTTGGGACAGGAGGGCAGCAACATAGCTGCTTTGGGTTGTCGTTTGGCCAGGAGGGTAGAGCCCTCAGTGCTCCGCCATAGCCTCGGCCTTCATGAAGAGGAAGAGGAAAGGTGGCCATGGCTATGGTGGTCCTCATATTGTGCCTGGATTAGAAGTGGGATTCGGACATTGATTCTGGTTCAGCCATTCAACATTATTATTGTTATTTCTTGTTTGAATAAGAGGGGAGGAGATAAGGAGGAGGAGATTGGTTGGCAAAGAAGAAGAGCATTAACTTTGGTCTATACTGGAGTACATTATCTTCTTTTTCTTTCTTACGTCTTCTTCTTCTTTCCCTCTCTCTCCTCTCAAGTTCATTCATTTCTTTTAGCAATTGGACGGCATTGTACTTTCTGATGAATGTATACTTCGAAATTGGCAAGGATCGTAACATTGGTATCAGAGCGGA